CCCTTTTCTTTTCCCTTCTCTCCCTTCTCTCTCTTCTCTCCCTTCTCTCTTCTCCCTTCCCTTTCCCCCTTCCCCTTCTCCTTCCCTCTGTTGTGCTGCCTCGTGGCTTCTCAGCTTCTCTGGGTTCTCCTGAGCCTGTTTCCCACTTGGCTCTCACACTGTCCTGCTGGAGTTGCTGCCATCTGTCCCACATGGAGAAACCTCTCTGCAACTCCCTGACAGGAGGCTGTAGCCAGGTGGGGGTGGGGTCCAACTCCTAGGTAATAAGTGACAGGACAAGAGGAAATAGCCTCAAGCTGTGCCAGGGGAGGTTCAGATTGGATATTGGGGGAAATGCCTTTGTGGAAAGGGTGGTCAGGCATAGGAAGGGGCTGTCCAGGCAGGTGGTGGAGTCACCATCTCTGGAGGTGTTCAGGAAATGAGTGAACGTGGCACTTAGTGCTCTGGTGTAGTCGACGAGGTGCTGACAGGTTGAACTCGATGATCTTTTTGGAAAGGGTGGTCAGGCATAGGAAGGGGCTGTCCAGGCAGGTAGTGGAGTCACCATCTCTGGAGGTGTTCAGGAAATGAGTGAACGTGGCACTTAGTGCTCTGGTGTAGTTGACAAGGTGCTGACAGGTTGAACTCGATGATCATGGAGGTCTTTTTCAACCTAAATGATTCTGTGAATGCTGAGATGGAATGTGTGAGGGGGATGCCGTGGGTGTAGCCTGATTCCAGTGGCAACAGGGAATTGTCAGCAGTGTAGGGGCTGTGTTTTTGTGCACATTTGGCACATCTTTCCTTACATGGAGCCACTTGCTGAGAAACAAGAAGTGAGGCACTGGCACACATTGCCCAGAGCAACTGTGGCTGCCCCATCCCTGGAAGTGCTCAAGACCAGGTTGGATGGGGCTTGGAGCAACCTGAGCCAGTGGAAGGTGTCCCTGCCCATGGCAAGGGGTGGAACAAGGTGATCTTTAAGGTGTCTTCCAATCCAAACCACTCTGGGATTCATGCTATGAGTCTGTGAAGTGAGCAGTGAGGGAGGTCAGGGGCAGGATGTCTGCCCAGGAGGGAGACGGGGGCCTGTGTTTTGTTTTTTTTTCTCAGCTGCCAGCTGAGAATTCCTGTTGGATCAAACCAGACTTGAGACTCTTCTATTATTTGATAGGCTTTGGTGCTGATACTGGACAGACCATGGAGTGTCAATCTCCAGAGGGAACAGGAGGCTGTGGAGCACTTCTGGTTATTAATTGTTGTTACTAATTTGGGAAATACTCTCTGCCACCCAAAGCATCTCTGAGATAAAGATTTTGGGGCCTGCAGCCCCCCTGCCTCCACCAGAGCAATTCAGAAACATCCCTTCAGATAATGTCCAACCAAGATCTTGTCACACAATTGGGTTTAATTCCCTTCCCTGTGCCTGGGCGAGGCAGATTGATGAAAAAAAGCTGCAAAATACTTTTTTCCTTTTATTACAACAGGAGAGAGGCAGCAAATAAACCTCCCCCTCTGCAGGCTCCCACCAGCTACCATTTGTGATAATGCCTGGCATGCAGGAGAGGCTGGAAAATACCCCCAAACGTTAATTTACACTCCATGATATTTTCTTTTCTTTGCTCAGGGTGGTTAATAAAACCTGTTACGACATCCTTAAAGTGCTTAAGAAGCTCTGGGAATAAATGAGAATTTTTCTACGCCTCCCCAAGGCATTTTCATTCCTATCAGTAGTTGTTCGTTCCATCTGAAGGATTGCCAGAGGAGAGAACCTTAAATGGCTGTGCTGCTGCTGTAGCTCCAAATGGGATTTGTGTCCTTTGGATTGTGATTGGATTCTTGATTTGGCTGAGCGGAGAAGGCGGTGGGAGGGTGTGGGGGTCCTTCTCTCCCGGAGGTGGTTTTAAATACATCTGTCCTTTTTTTAATGGGAAACTGAGAGGCTCTCCCTGCTGTGCTGAGGGAAATGCAGCTCTCTCCAAATGGGAGTTAGCTGCTCAGGGAAGTAAGGAAGTGGCTGAGTGAAACCGTGACTGATCCCAGGTGCAGGTGCCTGAGCTGGTTTAGTGAGAGTGGATGTGACTGAAGCAGGAATCCTTGTCCAGCCACTTCTGCCTTCAGCATTGGGGACTGCATAAAAATCCACCCCAAAAACAGTCTTTGTTTAGTGCCAGATTCACCTGAATTCAGCTTCTCTTCACACCTGCTGCCTCCAGCTCTGAGCGCCAACACAAGACAGACATTGACCTGCTGGAGCAAGTCCAGAGAAGGCCATGTTGATTCTCCAGGGGCTGGATCACCTCTGGAGCCAGGCTGGGAGAGCGAGCTGGGGGTGTTCAGCCTGGAGAAGAGAAGGCTCCAGGGAGACCCTAGAGCTCCTTCGAGTGCCAAGAGAGCTGAAGAGGGACTTTGGACAAGGGCATGGAGTGCCAGGACAAGGAGGGAATGGCTTCCCACTGCCAGAGGGCAGGGTTGGATGGGATATTGGGAAGGAATTCTTCCCTGTGAGGGTGGTGAGGCACTGGCACAGGTTGCCAGAGAAGCTGTGGCTGTCCCATCCCTGAAGGTGTCTAGGTTGGACAGGGCTTGGAACAACCTGGTTTAGTGGAAGGGGTTCCCTGCCTATGGCAGGGGGTGGAACAAGATGATCTTTAAGGTTCTTTCCAGCCCAAACTATTCTGGGTTTCTATGAACACATCCTGTCAATGCTAGAGAGCTCCGTGGAGCTGCCAGAGGACCTCAGTGGTTTCTTCCCTTGCCAGGTGCAGAACAGGTTACTGTGTATTTTGTACAGCTGCTTTCCTGGTACCTCTAAGCCCTACCTGGGCAGACAGGGCTTCAGAGCCTCTCCTGGTTTGCTTGTACATGTGTCTCACTTGGAAATCCCACGCTGGTTCCTATGATTTCATGGCAAATTTGGCTCTTTGATGCCTGTAACACCTAGATGCACTGCTGAGAGCAGGCAGGCACAGCCGTCCCTGCTCCTGCAGTGTCATCAAACTCTCTGTAGCTCAGGCTGTGTTTCACAGCTTCCTCATTTCATATTTGCAGCTTGGGTTCAATTAACTTTTGGAAGTAGATATAATCCATGCTGTGGTTGTCAGGGGGCAATTCCCAGATCCAGCAGTTTCGATCCCGTTTGGGTCTGGATTTCAAGGCAGAAGCCTGAATGATCATCTCAGGAGCTATTGAGATGAACTCATTTCTTTTCTCAGTGCTCTGAAATCCTTCTAGAAGCAGCTAGGGGCATGCTGAGAATGATTCTCTTAAGCCACATCTGTAATTCCTAGATCAGAAAAGAGAGGCCATAGGGATGTAACATACTGTCTCTCATTTACTGCTGTGGCCTCACAGGCCAAGTAATTCCACCTGTTTCCCTAGTCTCTGCTCAGAGGTGATCAAACAGTATGATAAATGGTGTGCACTCTTCCCAGACCAAGAACCTGGACTTCCGCAGGAAGTGGGACAAAGATGAATATGAGAAACTCGCAGAGAAGAGGCTCACGGAGGAGAGGGAGAAGAAAGATGGTGAGTAGTGTGCTTGGCTCCAGGGAAGCTGTGCTGCTTTGGAAGTGGTCTCACAAACCCTTGGAGTTTGGGAGGGAGAGAGCAGTTAGAAGTCAAATCCCAAAGGGAAGGAGCTGGCTTGCTCCCGTCCTTTTTCCTGTGCTTGCCAATTGCTATAGTTTTGTGACAAAAGAAATTAATGAGAACATTTCCAGATTCTCACTAAGAGAACCTTCCCAGTGCTCTTTGTGGAGGGAGGGGAACAGTCAGTCCCTCGAAACAAGGAGATCTCGGAGTATATCCTAAGCCATAGCTGGAGATACCTCAGAGATGTACCTGGGTCTGATAGGAACCAGGAAATAGGAGGAAACTATACCCTTTACTGATTTAGAAACAAAGGTGCATTTTCTGCATGGATCAGGCAGTCCCAGGTTCCCACAAAGTCCCTCTTCACCAGGCGGAATGCAAAATCCACCACGTGGAGCTTGACCTTTTGTTTATGTTTTAGGCAAACCAGCTCAGCCTGTCAAAAGGGAACTCCTGCGGCACCGAGACTACAAAGTGGACCTGGAATCCAAGCTGGGAAAAACCATTGTCATCACCAAAACCACCCCTCAGTCAGAGATGGGAGGGTAAGTTGTGCCATGGTGGAGTCTCTGAGTCATGCTGGTGAAACCTGGGGGCTGTGACACAGCAGGGACCCCTCACAGGGCACTAAGAACTGGTTTCCTCCTGTGTTCGGAGCCTGAGGCTGCACTGTTCTGCACTGTGCTGCACTGTTCTGCACCTAAACTGGGTCTCCTGGACATATGGAAAAGACTTAGCTGAGCCCCTTTGGACGTTATTCCTTGATATCAGTGTTGCCTACCTGTAGGAACAACAGAGGAAGCACGCTGCTACCTGTTTGGGTCTCTTTTGCCAGGCCTGCTTGCACTGATGCCAGGGCTACTGCTAATTTGAGCTTCTGATTTGGATATCTGTGCACTGGGAATGGGAAAAACATCCAAATGCTTTTTCTTAGGAACAGTGTTTAGCCACTGTGTGTGGCTCGTGTTCCCCCAAAGGCTGAAAGGATCCTGAACTCATCCTAAGCCACCAAGAACATGAAAAGAATGAGTTTGTGTGACCTCAGGAGTGAGACTATTAGTGTCTCCCTGGCAGCAGTGCCAGGAAGAGGAGATGCACAGGGACAGAAGTGCAGCCTGTTTTGCAGCAGTTCTTAAGATGGACAGAGAGCACTGCTCTCTGTGTGTGAAATAGCTCAAATTCTGTGAGATTTGAGCTCTGTCTCATGCTTTGGGTCTAATTTTTCTTCTCTCTCCTGCAGATACTACTGTAATGTATGTGACTGTGTGGTGAAAGATTCCATTAACTTCTTGGATCACATCAATGGCAAAAAACGTAAGGATCATTCCTCTGACTCATTGGAGGGTTGGTTGAGTTGGAGGACTGTTCCCTTCATGCATCACCTGTGTCTGAGGGCTGAACACTTATCTGTGGATAACTGTGCTTTGGAGATCAGGATGTAGGCACTGTTTGCTCAGGAGAGCTGTGGAGGTGCTCTCTTACCTCCTGGCACCTTCCAGGGTGCTGGACCATTTTCATGGAATAAGCCCAGCAGAAGCAGTGATTGGTGTGCTCTGATTAGGTATATTTTCCCATGGTCAGCAAATCCTGATGTATCCTGAAAATCTGGAGAAAGGCTTTTTACAGCATTGAAACAGTAAAGAAGTTCTTAGATAAGTAAAAAGTGTGGGATTGGCCCATTTTGGGATCAGAAGCTTCTCTTTGTAGCAGTTGAGTATGAAGCTCAAAACTGGTCCCTGAGCTCCAGAGTATGGATCAGAGCTTGCAGGAATGGAGAAGGAGGCTGAACAGAGGTAGGAGTGGGGCAGTTTGACCCTAGAGCTGGGTCAAGCAGGGAGATGTTGTTCTTGGCCTGTACCTCTCTCTGCTGCTTCTCTCAGTTGCTGTGGTGGATGCAGTTAACTTAGGCCAAGATAAAGACAGGAGGAAAGAATTCCCAGTTTTTCAGTCTGTTCCCTTAGTGTGTTAACCTGAAAAAGAGGACAGTGCCCTCATTGAACTGACTGTGGACATTGCTTCTCCTTGACATGTTCAGAGAGTGGGGAACATGGGGAAAGTCAAGGAGCAGCAGGACACGCTAACACACTTTCCATGTTTTTCCTGCGCCTGAAAGTGATTTTGGCTCCTTGTGGAACCTTTTGTATTCCACTGGTCCAAGATTAAATCTCTGGAAGCATCACCACACTAACATAAAGGAATATCCAAATAGGGAACCTTAAAACAGGCTATATTCACCTTGCTACAAGTAATGTTGGGAGTTGCTGGTTTGAGTTGTGGTGTCCCCCTACAGGCCATTCCCTCTGACCTAAGAAATCCTTGGGTGTCGTCCAGGCCTGGAAGCTGCTTTGAGGGGATGGATGGCAGGCAGGAAGATGCTGCTGTGCTGTTTAAACTGGGATCAGGGATGGGGACTATGTGCAGAGCACCAAAGGCTGTGAATGTTGCACCAAGGGCTCTGAGTGATGCCGACCATGGCCGATTCCACTTCTGTTCTTCAGACCAGAGGAATCTGGGCATGTCCATGCGGGTGGAGCGTTCGACACTGGACCAGGTGAAGAAACGCTTTGAGGTGAACAAGAAGAAGATGGAAGAGAAGCAGAAGGACTATGACTTTGAGGAGAGGATGAAAGAACTCCGTGAGGAGGTGAGTATGGGCAGTGACTGAGGGAGCAAAGCTCCCCATAAACATGTTTTAGGAGGAAATCAACCCTGATTCCTCATCTTGTTCCACAGAAGCCTCGTTCTTGGCAGCATGGGCTTCTCCTCTGCTGCTCTGAGTGGGGTTTGTTTCTTGTTTGCTTTGAAAAGTTTGCTGCTGCTGTCCCTGGAAACCCTTTTCTCCTCTTTCTGCATGAGGGTAACTTTCAGTGGTTCAGGTTTCCACTGAGAGCAGCATGAGCTCGTTTTTTTGTCTTCCACTGGTTGTGTTGGAACTTGTGTGCTCTGATAACAAGTCTATGTCTGTGGATCTTCCATGATTCTTAGGATTGCTGGAATCCTCCTTCATGTGGCACTTGCCTCTGTGGCCTCCTCAAGTGTGGAAGGGCTATGTGAGCTATGTGCTGTGGTGAGACATGTGAGGAGGTGGTGAAAGACAGCAGATTCCTTCCAAATTTGGGCTTAGGTATCAGTAAACATGTAAATCAAGTTGATCTGAAAACCTGACAAAGTTCTGACAGCTGAGGAGTGTCTATGGATGTTTCTTGCCCATCAGCGGCCTTGTAACCACCCAAGGTTACACATCAGTGCCTGTTTGAGTCTCCCTGCCCAAGCCCTGAGCTTTGCCTCACCACAGAGGAGCCCTTTGGGGTGCTCACAGAGCAGCCTGTGCTCTGCCCTCAGGCTGAGGTGCTGCTGAGCCCCATCTCTTTGGGGAGGGGTAGGAAGGAGGTGCACCAGCAGCACAGGGAGTGCCATGAGTTGAAAAGCTGCTGCCAGTCCACGGATGGCAACAAGGAATTGAGCAGAAGTCCTGGTGTAGCTTTCCCCAGGGCATGGCTGTGCTCAGGAGCTGTGGCACAGCAGATCAGGATGGGGATGGCAGGAGCAGTTGCTAAGTTGGGAGCTGAAGCCATGCTGCCATGTCACCCAGTACAGGCCTGGCTCTGTTCCAGGGCTTGTGATCCTCACAGAGCAAAACACTTTGATTAGAGCAGCATAAATTCTTTGATGCCAAACCTCCCCCCAAAGCTGCTCAGAGCTTCGGCTTCTGTTCCAGGGAGCAGCTGTCACTCTGCCAGGCCGAAAGCCAACAGGCATCACAGGCACTGGCACGGGGCAGCAGATGAGGGAATGGCCTCCTGCTTTCAAACCAGCTCCTTCTGGCCTCAGCCTTCATTCCAGGCAAAACTTGTGATGTTCACTCAGAAGAGTTTCATAACGCTACCTCTATCTGAAGGGGCTAGAGGGAGGCTGGACAGGGACTCCTTGTTAGGAGCAGTAGTGATAGGTCAAGGAGTAATAAGTATACATTGGAAGAGGGGAAATTTAGATTAGGTATTAGAAAGAAGTTTTCCCTGTGAGGGTGGCGAGTCACTGGCACAGGTTGCCCAGGGAGGCTGTGGCTGCCCCAACCCTGGCAGTGTTCACAGCCAGGTTGGCTAAAACCTTGAGCAACCTGCTCTGGTGGGAGGTGTCCCTGCCCACGGGCAGAGGGTTGGGGCTGGGTGATCTCTACGGTCCATTCCAACCCCTTAACATACTATGATACTATGATTCTTTTTGGCTACATCTTGTGTGTGTGCCTCTGCTCTTGGAGTGGGAGGTGGGATGGTCTGGATTCCCTGGGAAACCTCCTTGGAGATCGCGGGCCAGGATTTCTGCTGCCTGTTTATTTCCTCAGGCACAACTTGAGTGCTGTGGGCAGGACATGTGCTGTCTGTGCAGCGCTGGTATCTCAAGAGCTCCCTCAGCTCAGGATGTGCAAATTGTGTAGCTGCTCTGTCCTTTGCTGCAGGAAGAGAAGGCCAAAGCCTACAAGAAGGAGAAGCAGAGAGAGAAGAAGAGGCGGGCAGAGGAGGATCTGACCTTCGAAGAGGATGATGAGATGGCAGCTGTGATGGGTTTCTCTGGGTTTGGCTCAACCAAAAAGAATCACTGAACAGCTCTGGACTCTCCTCTTACTCCAAACAGCTTGTTTTTACCCAGGGAACTCTGGATAACTCTTCAAAGACTTGATTGAGGACTTGTATGTAAATCTCCCAGCACAAGTTGGCTGGAGGAGTCGAAAAGCGATTCCATGCTCTACCTGTGCTGCAGAACAAGCTCCACCTCCCATTAGCTTCCCATCTCCTTCTGTGTCCTAGATCTGACCGTGTGTAGACAGGGAAGTGCTCTGCTGGGTCCCTTTCTGTGTCAATAAAGTGCAGCCATTCTGCACAGGTGGCCTAGTTCAGGATTAATCTAGTTGTTCCAGGCCCTAGTTGTCACCTGGGCTGTGTTTGAGACACAGGGAGGGGTTGGGTTGGGTTTAGGATCACAGTGGAAGGAAATGTGCTGCAGGGAGTGGTGTGAGCAGTATGACCTACATCCTCATGGCTTGTGCTGGGCAGAGCTGGTGGCTGCATGGAGTCTGGGGTGCCCAAACTGTCCTGTGTGTTTTATCTGCAAGGGAGACTTGCCTGCTTTTCTTTGTGTTTCATCCCATAATTTTGGTATCTTTAAGGCAGGGGAGAAATTCTTCCCCACAAGTGGTCTAGGATAGAGCCAATGAAAGAAAGGTGTGTGCCATTTGCCAGAAATAAATGGATTGTTTTAATGAGTGCTTTGGTGGGAGTTTGATGCCTTCTTTATTTTGAGAGCTTCTGCTTCTCAGTGAGTAGAGCGTCTGATGTTTCCTGGCAGCACAGAGCTGGGATGGCCTTCTGGGGCCCTCAGTGGGATGAGGGTGAGGCATGTGCCCCCCTCTCTTTCTGGCTTGGCTCCCAGCTGCCTAGGCAGGCAGTTGCCATCATTCTTGGCTTTTTTAAGTAATTCTGGAGATGAGTGTAAGAACTTGGGAGGGGGAAGAGAGTTCAGGGCTGGGGACCTGCATTTCCATCAGGCACTCCAAGAGCAGGCTGGGCTGTGTTCCAGATTTTACCAGCCTTAGTATATTAAGGGCCATTTTTTTCCCATCTATTGCCTGTCAGTGTCTTTTCACCTCTGCCCTCTCCTAAATCCACTTCATTTCTGCTTTTATTTACCTCAGTCAAACCTTGTGTGACTCATTTCTGTCTGCAGTTAGGATTTATATTTTGCATGGATGGGTTTTCCTAGCTCTGCCTCCCTCTCCTCTCTCTTTTTATGTATATTGATGAAATCCTTGCGCTTGCCCTTCTCCGTGCTCCTATGAAATTTCCAGCCCCAGGAAGGCTGCAGTGTTTAGCCTGCTCTTTCTAATACATCTAGAACAAATCCTGTAATGTTGTGCTGCTGTTTTAATTCCTTAATCTTAGCCTGCTGACAGCTTCATTGCCTCAGGTCTTTCCGCTTCAATTCAGATTATAATCCCCGTTGAAGATGCTATTGAAATGATATATAGCCAGTCAGATACAGCTGTCCTTGGAGGTTTGACCCTTTTAACTTGGCAATCCTTTGACTTCAGCTCTCTGAGCACACGGGCTGGGAGGGCAACTTTCATTCCAGCCACGTTCCTAGCGCTGTGCAGGCTGCAGCACGTGGCTCCAGCTGAATGGGAGAGCGGAGACGCTCGCGCCTCTGTGCCCTCCGGGGTGCGAAAAGAGATGCTGCCATGGCTTCATACACATTCAAAGTTTAGGATGTTTCAGAGAAGATTTAGCAGCAGCCATTTCATCCCAGCCACCAGTTCTGCACACACCCAGCCCCTCACTGCAGCCACAAAGCACTGCTGGGAGCAGGCAGAGTCTGCCCCACACCCTCCCTATTTCCCAGCGTCTGGAGCCAGTAGCTGCTGCCTTGGTTTCCCCATGGAGCACCCCGCTGTTCTTATCCATCCTGGCACACCCAAGGGGTGAGGTGTGAAATGAACAGCCCCCAAAACACCTTCCTGGGGAGATGGCTGGGCTTGCACAGCCTCCTGCCACCGGGCCCTGCCTGTCCTTGCCTGCTGCTCCTGGTCCTTTCGAGGCAGGGAGGAAATCCCTCTGCAGTGCAACACTTTGCTTAATGAGATTCCTCTTTGGTGTAAATCCTGTCATCCCCAAAGCCATCCCGAGGCCACCTGCACCCCGAGGACTGAAGCCCCAGCCCCAGCTCCCTGCACTGGGGGAGCACAGCTCTTTGTCTCAGCGGCTTGCGTGGTGTGTGCGGCAGCAGATACAAGCTCTTGCTGGATTCCCAGCTGCGGGAGCTGCCTCTAACCAAGGATGAAAAGCTGGTTTCATGGGAGGAAATAATATTTAGAGAAGAGACAGATAACATTCCCTGCACCAGCCGTGTTAACCCTTCACTCCCACCACTGTTTAGTGGGGTGTTAACACTTGGCTTGCAGCCCCCAACACTGGGGCAGTGCTTCTCTGTAGCTCTTTGTTAGCACTTGCCATGGTGAATTTAAGGTGCTGGATGTGCCCATGTGGGTCAGGATTTGGGATTTTAGATGGAGAGAGGGGAAACCCCAGTGCTACAGCTCCCCTTCCTGCTTCCCTGCACCAGCCAACCAGCCCAGGTTATTCTGCGCCTGCTGGTTCTCTTCCCAAAAGGGGATGAAGCTCTTCGTTGAGTTAAAACTGGGATCTGGTAAAGTAAGGAGGGGCATTTCTTACGGTTCCCACATCCAGACTGGGCTGTCTTGCCTGCTGTCACCATAAAAGTGTTTTGAGGTGTCTGGAGCCAGCTTAGTGCTTGTTCCCAGAGCCAGAGGTGCAAGGCTCTACCCTGGCCACGGAGCATTTCCTCATGACTTGTGGCTCTGAGGACCTGGGGGTAGGACAGAGGGGTCCCAGCCAGGCTGGGGACTGTGCTCAGCCTGAGCCAGGCTCCCATGGCTCCGTCCCATTAAATATTGATGGCCGTGTTGGGAGAAGCACTTGGACGTCACAGCAGACCCTGGAGAAAACACACATCTATCTTGCCCCTCTGCTCCTCTCTCCCGGACGTCTCATCCATTCTGAGGGAAGGCTGAGGCCTCATGGAGGAGCTGAGCACTGTCACCCAGCTGCTCTTCCCCTTTCCTTCCTTCCTGGCACCCCCTCAACCCTGCCCTCTCCTGCTGGCCCTCAGTCTCTACATGTCCTGCCTGGGACTAGAGCAGCAGCAGCTGGACCCAGCCCAGCATTCCCACCATCCCAGTAAAATGACTGGGATCAGGTACTTGGAGTGATTCTGTAGAAGGGGTCCCAGCCCAGCCCTGTGTGTTACTCTGCCTGGATCAGCTGAATCATTCCCTGCTCTGGTGACTTTATGAGCAGAAAGACACAGAAAACTGTGATTTACACCAGTTTTACATCCTGAAAGGTTTAAGAGCTTGGCAGGAGCTCCAGTCCTCCTACTGCTCAGTCCACAAGCTATTGCTGCCCCAGTTAGGCAGCAGTTCCTGCCATTTGCCATCATTAAAGTTAAACAACATCCATAGGCAATATCCCTGGAAACCCTCCCTCCTGCCTTGCTCTGACCCAGTATGGCAGTGCCAGGAGGCTGTGCCACCAACCCCTGCTTTGCCAAGACTCCTGGTTCTTCCACACCTCATCAGTCAACCTGCTGTGGCACCATCCCACACAAACCAGTATTCCTGTCCCACTCCAGCTCTATGGACACCCTATGTTCTGAGTTCTATCTGGATCAGTCAGCTCTTGGCCAACTTGTATCCTGTCCTGCTTTCCGCACACAGGGGGACAAGGTGTCCCCAGGAGAGAGTCCAATCTGTGCAAGGGCAAAGGTCCAGCCCCTGGCTGGAGCTGAGGTTGCCACAGGAGGGATCAGGAATAATAGAATCATGGAATGGTTTGGGTTGGAAGGGAGATTAAAGCTCATCTGGTTCCACCCCCCTGCCATGGGCAGGGACACCTCCCACTAGACCAGGTTGCTCCAAGCCTTGTCCTTCAACACTCCCAGAGATGGGGCAGCCACAGCTTTGAGGTGGTTGAGGAAGGGATAGGTGACTGGGGTAGGGCAAGGTGAAGACTTGTTGGGGGCATCCCTGGTCTGGGAGGTGTTTGCTTCCCATTTGGAGCTTGGATGGGAAATTTGGACACCTGTTTTTCAAAAAGGGCCAAGCAGGAAGCAGGGAACACCCACAGTGAAGTGGTGCTTGGCCTGGAGACCTCATCAAGTTGGGCCATGCTCCACACACTCCATTTTTGGGGATGAGTCAGGTCAGGCCACCCATGGGGTAAGAATGGAACAAATGGGACTTTTGTATGTTCCCAACTGGGAGGGGGGAGACAGCCCTGGTGCCTCTCTCATCCCTCTCGGATCTGTTGCTGCAGTCAGGTTGGAGGTTGCTGCAAGGATGGATGGTTTCTGCTGGGCTTGGTGTGGGGCTCCTGAGCGCAGGGGAGGTTTTACTTTGCAGCAAGCAAAGTACAAAACCATCATCAGGCAGAGAACAAACAGCTCCAGGCTGGAGAGGGAGCAGGGAGAGGGCGAGCTTGGGAGGGAGATGGGGAGGAGCAGGGGGAGTGCGGGGACAGGGCGTCCGCAGGAGGTTTTTCGGGGACTTGTGATCTCAGAGCAAATTTCTGCTGTTGGCTGCGCACCAGTGGCACCATTTCACCAACTCATGCGTGCCTCCCCTCCCAGCTCCGCGACGCTGAGCGCCTGGGGGGGTCAGGGCCGCTCTGTGGAGGGCTGCGGGAATATGGTCCCTGCTCGGAGAGCGTGTGATGTGCCAGGCAGCCGGGGAGCCCCGGGGACACTGCCATGCCTTTGTTCCTTCTGCTCTTTCTTTTCCACCTTCAGATATTTTTTCCCCTCTGCTTCCAGCTGTGTATGCAGCACTCCCCCCTTCTCTTTCCACCCACAGTTCCTGTCTTGATTTTCCTTCCCCTCTACAAATATGTGCTCCTTAGGCTGCTTCTCCTCCCTGCCTGGCTCCCCCCATCAGCATTGCCTCCCCAAACTTCTTTCTTTCCTTTCTCCCTGTTTTCCCACAGGCCCTCCTCATCCCTTCCCCTTCCTGCTCCTCTCCCCTCCAGCCTCTTGGGCTCCCGTTCACTCACTCCATCTCCCTTTCTCTGACAGTTTGGGGGAAATCTGTCTGTGTCAACACACAAATTCCATTATTTATTGGCTGAGTGGAGCAGGGTCCTACACTCGTCTGTAATTGTCTCCAGATCAAAGCGGCTGCTGATGGCAGCTTTGCCTTCTCGCAGCAGAACACCACCCCCAGCTTGCAGCTCCCCATCCTCCCGGGGGAGTCGGGTGCGTGTGCGTCGACACCCTCGATGACTGATCTCCCAGACAGGGAGGAAAGAAGTAGGGCTGGTGGGGGAGAAAAGGGAGACCTGCAGGATCTGCCAAGCTCCCAGGAGAAGATGGGGATGTTGGGAGGTGTCTCAGGGGGACACACAGTCCCTGGCAGGGACCAAGGGAGGGTGGGAAGGTAGAGGTGGTCCA